GGGATTTTGATTGAGATCTTATTGAATCTATAAATAACTTTTGATAAAATGATCATTTTCACATTGCTAATTTTACCAACCTATGAGCCTAGGATGTCTTTCCATTTTTTACTGTCTTTCTCTACATTCGTCAGAGGTTTAAATTTTTCATTATGGAGGCCCTTCACTTCCCTCATTCGGTTTGTTCCTGGATATTTTATTTTCTTTGAGGCAATTGTGAATGGGAGTGTGTCCGTGATCTCCCTTCACTGTACTTTTATTGTTGACGTGTAGAAAAGCTATTGATTTATGCAAGTTGAATCTGTATCCTGCCACATTGCTGAACTTGTTTAGCATTTCAACCAGTTTTCTGGGAGAATTTTGGGGATCTCTAACGTATCATGTTATCTGCAAATAGGGATAGTATGACTTCTTTTCCTATTTATATCCTTTTAATTTCCTTCTCTTGCCTTATTGCTCCAGGTAGGACTTAAAGCACAATATTGAAAAGGAGTGGAGATGGTGGACATCCCTGTCTCACTCCTAACGCTGGTGGGATGGCCTTGAGCTTTTTCCATTTAGGATGATGTTGGCTGTGGCTTTCTTGTATATAACTTTTATCATGTTGAGGTATGTTCCCTCTTGCTTTTCATCCTCTAGAACTTTTTTTTTTTTTTTTTTTTTTTGGTTAGGTTTTTTCGAGACAGGGTTTCTCTGTGTAGCTTTGCGCCTTTCCTGGAACTCACTTTGTAGTCCAGGCTGGCCTCGAATTCACAGAGATCCGCCTGGCTCTGCCTCCCGAGTGCTGGGATTAAAGGCGTGCGCCACCACCGCCCGGCAGAAAGTAACTTACTTTTTAAATGTTTTTGGTGTGAAGATGTCAGATCCTCTGGACCTGGAGTCACAGATGGGTGTGAGCTGCCATGTGGGTGCTGAGAATTGAACCCGGGTCCTCTGGAGGAACAGTCAGGGCTCTTAACCACTGAGCCATCTCCCCAGCTCATCCTCTAGAACTTTTATCATGGAGGTCTGTTGGATTTTGTCAAAGGCTTTTTCTGCATCTATTAAGATGACCATGTTTTTAAGTCCATTTGTGTGATTTATTAAATTGCCTTGTATGTGTTAAACTATCTCTGCATTTCAGGGATAAAAAGCCTACTTGGTAATGGTGTGCGGTAATTATGGTGTATTCTGTTTGCAAGTATTTTATTGAGCATTTTTGAGTCTATGTTCATCAAGGATGTTGGCTTGTAGTTTTGTCGTTGTTATGCCTTTACAGTTTGGGTATTAGTGTGATACTGGCTTTGTAGAGGGAGTTTGAGAGCGCTCCTGCTCCTTCCTTTCTGCCTGCCTTCCTTCTTTCCTTCCTTCCTTTCTTTTTTTATAGCTTAAGAAGTAATGGTTTTAGATCTTCTTTGAAAGCCTGGTAGAATTCTTCTGTGAATCTACCTGGCCCTGATTTTTTTTAAAGTTAAAAGGCTTTTTTATTACTGTTTCAATCCCCTTATTTGTCTGTCTAGGTTGCTGACATCTTCCAGTTTAATTTTGATGGTTTGGAGCTTGGATGAATATAGAAATTCACCCATTTCTTTTAGATTTCCAGCTTAATGGAGTACAAGATTTTAAAATATTTCCTATAATATTCTGAATTTCTTTGGTGTTTGTTATAATGTTTCCTTGTTCATTCCTGATTCTGTTAATTTGGATCCTCTCGTTCTCTTGGTTAGCTGGGCCAAGGGTCTGTCAATCTTTTTATCTTCTCAAAGCACTATCTCATAGATTCATTGTTTGTTTGTTTGCTTTGTTTTTGTACTGTTTCATTGATTTCTACTATTTGGATTTGGTTTGTTCTTGTGTTTCCAACTCTTTGAGTTGCATTATTAAGCCATCTATTTGAGCTCTTTCTGATTTTCACTGCATGCACTCAGACAGAGCTACTGCCTCCTAGGGCTGCTTTCAACGTGCCCCAGAGGTTTTGTCATGTCGTGTTTTCATCTTCATGTAGCTCCAGGACATTTTTCATTTCTTTCTTGCCTTTTCTCTTTGGGTCATTCACCATTCAGTAATGAGTTGTTTAATATTTAAGAGTTTGTATATTTACTAGAGGTTTGTTTGCTGTCAATCTTATTACATTGTGATCAGATAGCATACAAGGAGTGATTTTATTCTCTTTGAATTCATAAAGAATTGTAAATTCAAATTGTAAATTGTAAATTCAGGATGTGGTCTATTTTAGAAAAACTTCCCTGTGCAGCTGAGTAGAATGTGTATTCTTTGGTGTTAAGGTAGAACATTCTGTAGATATCTGTGAAGTCCTTTTTATATATGATGTCAATTAATTCTGATATTTCTGTTTATTTTTTGTCTAGATGATCTGTCTATTGGAGAAAGTGGAGTATTGAAATCACCTACTATTAATGGATTGATGTTATTTTGTGTCCTTAAATCCAGTAATACTTGAGAAAAAAAATATATTGGTGCACATAGGTTTAGGATAGCCATGTCCTCTTGGTTAACTGTTCCCTTGATTAAAATGAAGTTTCCTTCTTTATCTCTTCTGATTAGTTTTATTTTGAAGTCTATTTTGTTAGATATTGGGTTAATAAGGCCTGCTTGCTTCCTGGTCCCATTTAATTGGAGTGCTTTTGTCTATCCTTTTACTCTGAGGCAGAGCCTATCTTTAAAGCTAAGAGGTGTTTTGTTTTGTTTGTAGGATTTTGTTTCTTGATCCATCCAGTCAGCCTGTGTCTTTTGATTGGAGAATTGTGACCATTGATATTTAAAGCTATTATTGAAGCGTGTGTGTTAATTGTGGTCATTGTGTTGACTTTTTGTGCTCTGTTCTCAGTGCTACTTTGTGTTTTAATAATTATGGTTTTATATTTCTTTCCACAGTCTCTCTGCTATGCTATATTTCTTTCCCTGCCTCTCTTCAGACTGAAATATTGTTTCCTGTATTTTCTTTAGGTTTGGTGTGTTGGATATCAATTTTTTTAAAAGCTGTTTATATTGTGGAAAGTTTTTCTTTCTCCTTCAATTTGGCAGATAGTTTTGCTGGGTATATTAGTCCAGGTTGGCAGTCATAGTCTTTTAGGCCTTGGGATATACTGCTCTGGGTTCTCTGGCTCTCAGAGTTTCCATTGAGGAATCATCTGTTATTCTGATGAGTTTTTCTTTAGATGTGACCTTTTTTTTTCTTGAAGTACTCAATACACTTTCTGTTAATGTATACTTAATGTTTTAACTATGCTATACTGTGGGGACCGTCTTGTCTTATGTATTTGGTGCTCTGTATGCTTCTTGTATCTATATGGGTGTGTCTTTCCTTAGCTTTTGGGACATTTTCTTTTTCTTTTATGATCTTGTTGAAGACCTGGTATATGACTTAGGATTATTTTCTCTTGTCTATGCCTGCATTTCAAAGGTTTGGTTATTCATGGTGTCCCATTTCCTGTGTGATCTTTTCCTGTTTGTTTGTTTATCAAGTCCTCATATTCCTTGCTTATTTGGTCCTGATCTTCTATCTTCTGTTTGATTCACTCTTCTTGTATGGCTTTCTTTTGAATATTTTAGTTAAATTATTGGGTTTTCACTTCCATGTTCATTTCAACTTGAGTCTGATGGGGGAATGTGTCTCTGTATGCTGTGAATGTGTTGCTCTGATTGGTTGGTTGATAAAATGCTGATTGGCCAGTAGCTGGGCAGGAAGTATAGGCAGGATAAGCAGACAAGGAGAATGCGGGGAAGAGTAAAGCTGAGTCAGGAGACGCCAACCTGCTGTCCAGACAGCAGCATGTAATGGCACACAGGTAAAGCCATGGAACATATGGCAACATATAGATTAACAAAAATGGGCTGAGTTTAAGTGTAAGAGCTAGTCAGTTGTGGGCCTGAGCTAATGGCCAAGCAGTTTTAATTACTATAAGCCTCTGTGTATTTACTTGTGTCTGAGCAGCTGCAGACCAGGCAGGACACAGAAAACCTTTCAGCTACATGATTCCTCTTCAATGATTCCATTTCCTTGTTGGATCCTATTCTCAAGTCCTGGATTATCTTTGTCATTCCCATCAGCCCTGTGTTTGTGTTTTCTTGAGCATCACTCAGGTTTTTATTTTCCTTAAGTTCTTTCTCTTTAATTTTGTGTCTTCTTTAAACTCCTTAAATTCTTTGATGAAGTTTATGATTGTTCTTTTAAATTGTATCTTTTTGTTGTTGTTTTGGTTTTTTTGAGACAGGGTTTCTCGGTGTAGTTTTGGTGCCTGTCCTGGATCTCACTCTGCAGACCAGGCTGGCCTCAAATTCACAGAGATCCCCCTGGCTCTGCCTCCTGAGTGCTGAGATTAAAGGTGTGCGCCACCACCGCCCAGTTTAAATTGTATCTTATAGTTCATCTAGGGAATTCTCATTGGCATGCATTTCTTCAGAACTGGCAGGCTGTGAAGAGAAGATACTGGCTGGATCTTTCATATTGTTGGTATTTTTGCAATGGGATCTGGACATGTGGGTATTTTGGTTAATTATAAATCTGATATGGACACAGCAGGCTGAGGAAGAAGAGATCGTGTTGAGGGTGGTTTGCCCTAGAGGTTGGAAGTGGGTTAACAAAGTCAGGTGGACTGAGGAGACTGGGGTAATGTACAGGATATGCCTCCTTGTCCAAGACAAGGGTGTGGGGAGGTAGATCTGGCTAGGTGCAAAGGTTGGCTATAATGTGGGAGGGTCTTTGAGTTGGGAGATAGGTAGGAGGGTCCTAGCAGAAGCCTAGAGATCAGTTACAGGGCAGGCAGAAGAGGTCTGTCTAAGCTGGGGCAATTGATGCAGGACCTGGCCTGGATCTGGTGGGTTGGGGAGAAGGTATGAACTAGGAGGAAGAGGGAGACTCACAGGATAGACCCTGGAGAAGGATGTGGGAGATCTGACTGAGTGGAAAAGTTGGGTGCAGTGTCTCTGAATATCATTTTAACAATGCCAAGTATTTACTAATTAAGATTTCCCTCAATTTTAAATAACAAATATACATATATTTTATATACACATGTGTACATATATTTTTAATCTTTCTGTAATTAATTTGAAGTTTTAGTCGTGGAAGCAGTAGCATAATACATCTGATAGTGTTGATAAGGGTTGCTTAGGTCAAGTAAGTGTTGCACAAATAGAAATCATGCTTGCTCCAGTTCTACAAGGACCCCACCACAGTCTTTGGGATGGAGGAAAATCACGGGTTTCCCATGTGCTCCTATTTTGGTTTCATCAGTCAGACTATGAATCTTCTTTTTCTTCAAATCCTTCACAGCTGTGTCTATATCGTCCACCTAGAAAAAGGAGAAAAATATGGGTACATCTGAGATGATAAAATACCAAATGCTGCTGTATGTCTTGAACCCATGCCATCTGTTTCCTCTGCCTTTGGACAGGATTATTCCTAAACCATGCAGCCCTGAGTTCCACCCTCAGCACCAAAACAAAACAAAAGCACCCGACAAAATAAGCCTACATTTTTCAGGAAAAAAAAAAAAAGATGAAAACTGCAACACCAAAGAGCATTCATGTTAGATGTTTCTTTTTATAACCTACATTGTGTATATTAAACTTCAGACATTTAATATTGAACAAACTTTTTCTGAGGGAGTTGGGTTTCTCATCCATAACAGAAAAGAAAAAAAAAAAAAGGTTGTTATGTGTGGATCTTAAGTTCCCCAAAGGTTCATTAGTAAACACTTGCTCCCCAGGTGGTGCTGTTGGGATATGGTGAGAGCCTTTAGTAGGCAGGGTTTAGAGGGAGGTTTCCAGCATTAGAGCTATGCCTTTGGAGGAGACATGGAGCCACAGCTGTTCCTCTTCCTGGTGTCTTTTGCTTCCTGTCATGATGTGCTGCTGCCTTATTACAAGCAATGAAGACAATAATTCATGAGTTGGGCGCTCCAAGCCAGCGAGCCAGAATAAGCCTTTCATGTGGTGATATTTTATTTGTGATGAAATGTGATATTTTATTTGTATGTTAATAAAGTTTGCCTGGAGATCAGAGGTCATAGGCACAAACAGAAGTCAGGCAGTGGTAACACACACCCTTAATCTGATCACATGGCAGGCAGAGTCTCTGTGTGGTCAAGGACACAGCCAAGCGTGGTGACATGAGCCTTTAATCCCAGTACAGACCATAGAGACCTGGAGGTCTGTATAGACATGTAGTGACGAGGAAGTCATGTGGCTGGGCTTGGAGCCAATGAAAAGGAAGAACAGGAAAGCAATAAAAACACAGGTCAGACAGGAAGAATCGCTCTCTGTGGAAGCCACTGCGTGGTGGTAAGCTAAGGCTAGTTGTGGCTATTCACTCTGATCTCTTTGGCTGTTACCTCTGTATTTGGCTCTGTGCTTCTTATTTAATAAGACTGTTTAGAAATTCATCTACACTTTCATTTTTACAAGTACATTGTCTCTGCTATTTCTTTTAGTGAAGGAAATCTACTAGCCCAAACATCTACCATTTGAATAATTAAAATAGGGTGTTTCTCTAATCCTAAGGTCCCCTGACTCTCCCAGAAATCCTACCTGGTTATGACCTTTGAGATTAAAACTAGAAATGAAAATCACTACAAAGCTGCTATCAAAATGTTACTTCCACCATAAGACCACAAACTTGTGATTGTGCAATTCTCTGCTGAGTCGCTTCCATGTGTCTCGTTTATTCGCAGTGCAGGGGAGGAGGGTCAGACAAGTGATGGGGACAGTGGGAGCCCCGTGTGATAATGGCTTAGGGATTTTGCTGCAGGGGCCAGTAAGCTTATGGGGTTTTGAGTGACAACTCATGTATTCTGCAGGGTTACATACACAGATACAGATACATGTATTAGTCAGAGGGCTTGGAATCGATGACACCCCAACAGCAACAATTCAGACACCCAGATCTTGTTTCTGACACTATTCTCCAGTTATAGGATCACGGCTTCTTGGAAAAATACTGAGTCTGCAGCCACAGGAAACAAGAAAGTTTAGAAACTTTTGTAGAGTTATTTATTTGTATGTGTAGGAATGTTTTGTTTGCATGTATGTCTGTGCACCGTGTGTGTGCCCAGTGCCTGCAGAGGCCAGAAGAGGGTTGGAGCCTCTAGAAATGGAGTTACAGTCATGAGCTGCCATGCGCGTGCTGAATAGAACCGGAGTCCCCAGAAGAGCAACAAGTGCTCTTAACTGCTGACCACGGCTGAGCCACCTCTCCCGCCCCAGATAATAGAAAGGATTTTTTTTTTATGGTGTGGTATGTCAACCCACATAGATCCAAATAGCTCCCAAGAGCTGAAGCTATAAACACAAGTGCAGGCTGATGCAACTTTCCATTTCGTAAGTGAGGCTTTGCATAATGGCTACCTTCCAAAGAGAAAGTATGGAGGGAAAAAAGGAATGGTTGCTTTACAGTGGTATAATGAACTGACTTAGGTAGACGAGCAATGTAATATTATATTTGGTTTTTCGAGACAGGGTTTCTCTGTGTAGTTTTGGTGCCTGTCCTGAATATTGCTCAGTAGCCCAGGCTGACCTCGAGCTCACAGAGATCCGCCTGCCTCTGCCTCCCGAGTGCTGGGATTAAAGGTGTGTGCGCCACCGCTGCCCGGCCTGTGTTATATCTATTGACGTGCAAGAATAAGAATGGCAGCTGCCAGCCGGGCGGTGGTGGCGCACGCCTTTAATCCCAGCACTTGGGAGGCAGAGGCAGGCGGATCTCTGTGAGTTCGAGGCCAGCCTGGTCTCCAAAGCGAGTTCCAGGAAAGGCGCAAAGCTACACAGAGAAACCCTGTCTCGAAAAACCCAAAAAAAAAAAAAAAAAAAAAAAAAGAATGGCAGCTGCCTTTCCAAATCAACAATCTCAGTTCAACCAGGAGAAAAACGTCAGGCAACTCCCCTCAGTGACAGACAGTAACCAGAAAACCTTCTAATGTGTCAAGGTCACCAACACAAGGACAGTCTGAGACACTGTCATGGTAAGAGGAGTCCAAGGAGACAGCTGAATCTGACATGAAATTCTGGCACCACAACAACCAAAGGACACTGGATAAAAGGTATGGAAATCTGAACAAAATCTAGACTTTAGTTACTAATAGTGGCTCAACCTTGGTTCTTTAACTGTGACAAACATATCACACTAACGATCAGATGTTCTTTAATACAAATAATCTGAAGAAATCAATCACGCTTGTGATGACCGGGTCTTGTTAAATACTGGTTAGAGGAAGTCAACTGTAAAATGACATCTGTAACTCAATTTTGTAAGTTTGATTTATGGCCTGTGTGTAGATACTCATTTCAGAGAGCTACCTTTAACTCTGATTGGCATAATATCATCTAATGAGTACCTATTTGATAGGTCAGGGCAAAATGACATGTTGGAAATTACTTTAAGATGGTATAACAAAGAAAAAAGATGTGACAAGCTCTTGAAAACTATTGAATCTGGGTGGTTGGAATTTAGGGGTTCATATTTTTTTCTACTTCTCATGTTGAAATTTTATAAGTATATATTATTTATAAGTATGATGCCTTTTGATAACCTCTATTTAAACTGTGGCAAAAATAAATATCTACATCTACAGTTTAGATGTTACATCCTGTATTTTAGTGTATTATTTAATAGTCCATAATCTAAGAAGCAATCCTATGCTAAATGCCTTAGTTAGCTTTGTTCTGTTGAGATAAAACATCGTGACCAAAAGCAGCTCTGGGAAGAAAGGGTTTATTCCATCTTCAGCCTTAGATCACACTCTATCACCGAGGGAAGTCAGAGCAGGAACACCTCTTATTGGCTTGTTCTCCTGGCTTGTCCTCTAGTTGAGAACCAGACCCATCTAAGGCTTCCTAGAGATCCCAGTGAAAGACAAAGAGAGCAGTAGTTCAGTGTCCTCGTCCAGGGGCAGACTTGGCAAGGTCAGTCTGGGGCTGGATCGAGGACCTCAAAGGAGTCAAGGTTACAGTTTCTGGGGATCTTTCTATTCCCCTTGAGCTGTGGTTATCAGTACTAATGCTGGGTCTGAGGTGTCCTGTGTTCTCTTTGCCTACAATGTCTGATTTAGCTCTCTGCTGACCTCGGTCATTTCCCCCCTGTAAATAGTAATATAAGAAGCTGTGCAAGATTTCCCCATCCCAGCTTTTGCCTTTGTCTTCTTTATTTATTTACCATCCCGTAATACCCTGCCTCTGTTTGGGACTCTTATTCCTGAGGGTTTGGGTCATTCTCTTATACACCTTGAGGCCACCTGCCTAGGTGTGGCACCACTCACAATGGGTCAGGCCCTCCCACATCAATCACGTAACCAAGAAATACCCCACAGGCTTGCCTACAGGTTGATCTTAGGGAGGCACTTCCTCAGTTGAGGTCTCTTTCTCTCAGGTGACTCTAGCTGAGAAAAACCCAGCCAACAAACTAACACTTCTAAAATGGAACAAGTCACTTTTCGAAATCCTTATTGGACCAGCATCTATTTCTATTACTCTTTCTTTCTCTGACTCGTTTGATTTTAAAGATCTTGTGCTAGATCCACCCTTCTGTTAGTGTTGCTGTGAAATTTACAATCCTTTTTAATATTAGATTATTTTTAATTATGTGTCTGCGCGTGGGTATGTACTTGTGGGTGCAGGTGCCTGGAGGCTGGAGGCATCAGGTCTTCTGGAGCTGGAGTGGTACAGGAGGTTGTGAATGCCTGACATGGGTGCTCTTAACCACCAAACCATCTCTCTAGCTTAGTAGTTCTCAACCTTCCTAATGCTGCAACCCTTGAATACAATTCCTCATGTAGAGGTGACAACCACGAAATTATTTTTGTTGCTACTTCATAACTGTGATGTTTGCTACTGTTATGAATCATAATGCAAATATCTGATATATCCAATGGTTCAAGGCGATCCCTGTGAAAAGGTCATCATCCCCCCAGGGGTCGGAACCCACAGGTTGAGAACCACTGCTCAAGCTCCAAATTTACAGTTCTTTAAGAATACTCTCTTTAAGAAATCTCTCAAACCCTGTCTCGAAAAACAAAAACAAAAACAAAAAAAAAAAAAAAAGAATTCTCTCAACACGTTATTTGATTACAAAAATATTAAAATAAAACTGTCTTTATTTTCTGAATTGAAAGTACATGCAATAGCTGCAAAAGAATGCAAAAACAAACAAACAAACAAACAAGCCCCAACAACTTGCTTTGGGAAATAAATTCTAGCCGCCCCCCCCAAACAATAAAAACAACATGGTCAATAACACCCACCTTTAAAAGTGCCTTCGCTATCCTGCACACCAGCAGTTGTGCCTCAGAAAGTTCTCTGAATG